AATGTTTGAGGAGATAGCGAGCCAATTATAGAGCAGGACTTTAGCGTTATTTTTTGTTGTCATTTGGGGTGAAAAAAAAAAGTCGAAGATGCATTAAGATGGTCTTTATTGATCAATTTACATGTAGAAGAAACAGGCCTAACTGCAGTTTGGTCCAGCTACCTAAGAAAACAACACGTTATCAACCAAAAGTAATGGAAGATGGAATTTGCTTAATAACAAATAGCAACGAAACTGAGTTACTGCGCCAGTGTGTTGGGTTGGCGAACCAAACCATTTGCGTAGCACTGCGCAACTCCTAAAAATTGACAGAGTTACCCAGGCCTAGTAAAATGTTCTTTATTGTCATTCTATCAAAGATTAATTACAGTTTCCTATAACACCGCTGGAAGTTACGAGTTCGACCCGCGGAGGGCGCTAGACGTATTAGCGATACGAGAAGAAGACACCACAGCGAGACCGCAACTAACCTTTTTATTATAATCTTTCCACAGGTGCCAGAAACTATGATCCTTTTGTGCCTATTTTCTAGCTTTTCCACAAACCGCAATACATAAAAATGAATTATCGCCCATAAAATATTATCTAATCAGTAAATCCGAGAGAAAATTGATAATCCTTTAGCAGAAAACGAAATCAGGCACTTGTGCACAAAAAATGGCAAAAAGACAATTGCTCCTCCTATCCTCCTCGAAGGTCCACGGGTTTGAGTTCTTAGAGTACGCAGCTCAAGACGTCAACGAACTCCTCACTAGGTAAGACCCTCAATGCGCAGCTTTGAATGAAAAACAGCCCACTCTTTGCAGAAACAAGGTGTCCACTGTTTTGTTCATCCCTTATGCTTTGAGCAACCACGACGACTACCTCAAAAAGGTCCAAATTCCCTTCAGAAAATGGGGTAACTGCACTGCTTTAATCCGAATTAAGCTTTTATTTGCCTCATTCGGCAGGCTACAAGGTGGAAGGAATCCACCAACACGAGCAACCAGCAGAAGCCGTCAGGCAATCCCAAGCAATTTTCATTGGCGGCGGAAACACATTCCGCCTTCTAAAGGCCTTGTATGACAAGCAGCTGATCGACCCAATCAGAAACCGCGTTCTCAAACACGGAATCCCTTACATAGGAACCAGCGCGGGCACCAACGTGGCCACCAGAAGCATCAATACGACCAATGACATGCCCATAGTTTACCCACCCAGCTTCGAAGCCCTCAATTTGGTTCCGTTCAACATCAACCCTCACTACTTGGATCCGGAGCCCGACTCGAAACACAAAGGAGAGACCAGAGAGGAGAGGATCTTGCAATATCAAGAGGAGAGCACGGCTCATGCGGTCTTGGCTTTACGAGAAGGGGCTAGTTTATATGTGGAGGGAACCCACGCGAGTTTAAAGGGAATATCGGGAGCCAGACTGTTTCTGAAGTAAGTTGAGGCGATGATGTACACATTTACAACAAAACCTTTGAATTGATAATGAGAACACTTTTTATTTTATTCATGTCAATTTGAAAAACTTTGTTGTAGAAACCACGACCCCAAGGAGATTGAAGTGGACGCAAACCTCTCCTATCTATTAGACCTTGACTGACCCGAAGCGAGAATGCACCTGATACCCAGCAATAAACCACTTTTTTT